GCCGCCCCCCCCCCCCCCCAAAGCAAACCTATTTGAGCGAGCACCCCGGTCGCCCGCAACTAAATTTAGACCAACGTGGCTACATTGTGATGATGACTCGGATTTTGACTGGTGTTGACTACTTTCGGACCACTTCCTGACTTTTTTTTTGGGGGGGGGGGGGTTGCAGATGATCTCAGTGTAATTTCTTTTTCTTTTTCTTTTTGGGGCTTGTACTTGACTGACTTTTTAAACTGATTCGTCACTTCGGTCTTGCCTTTTTATTGGCTTCTTTTTGTAAAGCCGTTTTTGGTTCTTGACTTGTACTTGGTCTCGTTCTTTATTTAGTTCTATGATTTTTTTTTTCTTCTGTCGTTGACTTGATTTTTTTTTTGGGGGGGGGCATTTTTTTCTTTTGCTTTTTGGGGCTTGTACTTGACTTACTTTTTAAACTGACGTCTTCACTTGAGGGCTGCCTTGTTCTTGGCTTCTTTTTGTAAAGCCGTTCTTTTTCGGTTCTTGACTTGTGCTTGTACTTGTTCTTTACTTGGTTCTTGATTTAGAAAAATTTTTGTAACTGTCGTTGACTTGATTTTTTTTTTGGGGGGGGGCAGTTTTTGACCCATTTGCTTGATTTTCTTTGACTGAAAAAGTGTTGGGCTTTGTTTGCCTTTTGAACATTTTTGGCCTGCCCGCTGAGCTCCTTGTTGGGGAATTAGCCCGTCGGGAACAATGGAGACTTTTTCTCCCCAATCGAGGAATTACAGTAGTCTCTTTTCTCGGCGGCGCGGCTGGACCTTTCTTCTCGTTTGTTTCAGGTTTTGAGGGGTGCCGGCCGGCCGCCGCTCGCGGCCGCGCGCGTCAGCCATGGCCGAGAGGGAGTCTGGCGGGACGGCCAGTCCGGTGGTGCGTCAAATCGACAAGCAGTTTTTGGTGTGCAGCATCTGTCTGGATCACTACCGCAACCCCAAAGTGTTGCCCTGCCTGCACACCTTCTGCGAAAGGTAACGCCTCTTTCATTTGCAAGTTCCAATGTGCCCGTTCCTCAGGACCACGTGATGGCGTCTGATTTTTTGACACGGTTCCGGACTTGACGAGATTGTCCCCGGGTGCGATTGGGAGTCGGGATGCTTTCTGCCGATACTCAGCAAGCTCCCTGTCCGCCTGTCCGTCTGCGCGTCCGTCCAGCTGCCTGCAGAACTACATTCCGGCCGAGTCTCTGACGCTGTCGTGCCCGGTGTGTCGGCAGACGTCCATCCTGCCGGAGAAAGGCGTCTGCGCGCTGCAGAACAACTTCTTCATCACCAACCTGATGGAGGTTTGTTGTTCAACAACGGGCTTTATTTCGGGGGAAGGAGGGCACCCATTTTACCATCGAGTACGACACTTCTGAGCGATTCGTTTGGACCAAGTTAGAAGATGGACTAATGAGGCACTGTTCTCCCGACTCCCTCAAAAGTGGAAGTAAGGCAAAAACGCTTGGTTTGCGTGAAGGTCCTGCAAGGAGAAGCCGAGTGTTGGAGACCCGAGGCCCGCGGCGTCCTGGAGTCGATCGGCGTGGCGGCGGGGAAACCGCTCGGCTGCCCCAACCACGAGGGGGAGGTGGGTGGACCGGCCAATCGGAGGACAGCTCCCTGGAAGAATTTGAAATGCCACGTGCGCCATCACGGCGAAGCCCCTGAGCAGATTCCATTGACATCTGCAATGGGAATTTGATATCTAGCGGTGCTAAAATGTATCTTAGCACGGTGTTGATGCTTTATGATCCTTTCAATTTGGCGTACTTTGTATTGCGCCGCCCATAGCCACTTTTCGGCTAAGCGATTACTCGCAAATTGGTGATAAATTTCACGAGCAAATACTACATTTCACATTGTAAATGTCGCTCGGCGCTTCTGCCAGTGAGCATCCGGGGTCACCGTGAAGTTTTGCACCCCACCCCCCACCCGCCGCCAGGTGATGGAGTTCTACTGCGATTCGTGCGAGACGGCCATGTGTCTGCAGTGCACGGAAGGCGAGCATCGCAAGCACGACACGGTGCCGTTGCGTGACGTCGTGGAGCAGCACAAGGCGGCGCTCAGGACCCAGCTGGACGCCATCCGCGGCAGGTGACTGACATCGGCTTTGACCAAATCCGACTTCAAGCTCTTGACACGTGCCCCAGAAGTTCTCCGACTCGTAAACAAAAGGCGTCCGCAATCTGCGAGCTCAATGCTAACATATCTTTTGAAGGACTTTCAACGTACATTGGGCCGCCACCGCTAACTGATTTCTTCATCGACTGCGGCGCCCCCGGCAGGGTGCCCCAGCTCACGGCGGCCATGGAGCTGGTGAGCGACATCTCCCGCCAGCTGAGCGAGCGCAAGAAGCAAGCGGTGGCGGAGATAAGCGGCGCCTTCCAGGAACTGGAGCGAGCCTTGGAGCAACGCAAGGCGACGCTAGTGGCCGACCTGGAGAACATCTGCGGCGCCAAGCAGCAGGTTCTCCAGGCCCAGCTGGCAGACCTCCTCCAAGGCAGGGATCACATTCAGAGCGGCTGCGACTTCACCGAGCAAGCGCTGGTCCACGGGAGCGCCGCCGAGGTCAGTACCGCCGCCGCAAGTGGGCACAGATGCCCCAAGATGGCAGCAAGGCACTCGATGATCGGAGATTGGTCCTCACTGAGATTCTCATAGCAATCGAGTCCACGGACGAGGTGTGTCTCACGGCAGTTGATAGGCTGGACTGCGGTATCCCAATTGCCCACTTAGAGCATCGAATGGGCATTAGGCGCAAGGCCCCGGAGGGGTTTCGGTCCTATTGCCCAGACAGAACGCTGCGTTTCAGCCACGGTAGTCGCACGGAGTTCCCCAGGGTTCAATTTTGGGGCCGCTCCTCTTCTCCTTTCATTTGTTTCCCAAGGTTTCATCTTGCCGTGCCAATATTGGGTCCCGGGTGGCCTCGAGTTGGTATTTCTCTGCGTGCGGCACTTTGTTTTCAGCTGTGGTCGTTTTTTATCGTGCTTTATCCATCACGTTGCGTTGAGTTCAAACAGAGGATCATCAAGCATCGACAGTGCGCATCAACCCACGTTCCATAAATAACTCCTCGGTCGGTGTTTCTGAAAGCAGTTCCCCTGGTCCCGAGTTTTAGTGGATCCTTTTGGAATAACATGAAGACCGATTCCCCAAATCGACGTCGGTTGTGCGTTCAGGTTCTACTGGTCCAGAAGCAAATGAGCGAGCGCATGACGGCGCTGGCGAGACACGACTTCCCGGAGAGACCTCATCAGAACGCGCACCTGGACTGGCAGGTAGGTGCCCGAGCAGGCCGGCCAAAGTCGGCGCTCGGCGTTCCGAGGAGCGCCATTTCCCGCAGAATCTTTTGGCCTTCAGGTGGAAACCGAAGGCCTGCGCCGGTCCATCCAGAATCTCGGCGTTCTGCTGACCACGCCCGCCGTGGCGCACACCTCGGTGGCCGCGGGGGAGGGTCTACGCCTCGCCACCACTGGCCAGCGCCACGCCATCACCGTCACCACCAAAGACAAAGTAAGCGGATCGATTTGGCATCATTGCAAGCCTTGCCACAATCTCCTTGAAACAGTCACAAATGCCTCGCTCTGCGCATGCCTCACCCTCCCTTGAAACCCGAACCCTAGTTTGAAACTCGGCTTCCAAACCCTAACTCTAGTTTTAAAATCGACTCCGAAATCCTAACCCAAGTTTGAAAAGCCTCATTCGCAACTTGAATGGGTTCATGATTGTCTCCGTTGGAAGTACTTGACACAGTACTGCCCCCCGAAATAAAATAATCGCTTGCCTCTCCCCAGGATGGCGAGCTGGTGAGGACAGGAAACGCGCTATTGGAAGCCGAGATCACGTCGGCGGCGGACGGCAGCCGCACCGCCGACGCGGAGGTGACGGACAATAAGAACGGCACCTACGAGGTGGGCTACACATTGCGCAACGAAGGCGAGTACGCCTTGGCGCTCAGCCTGTACGGCCAGCCCCTGCGCGGCAGCCCCTTCCGCCTGCGCGCCCTCAAGCCCTGCGACGTGCCGCCTTCGCCCGACGACGTCAAACGCCGCCTCAAGTCGCCCGGCGGCGCCGGCGGGCACGTCCGCCAGAAAGCGGTCAGGCGGCCCTCCAGCATGCACGCCGCCGCCAAGAAGAAGGAGAACCCCATCGACGACGAGCTCATCTACAGAGTCGGTCAGGCACCCGGGCGCCTGCACTCGGGGTAGCGTGTGTCGTCGCATCGCCCGACAATGTGAAAAAGTCGCAACCTTTTCAATAGCATGAGAAAGAATTGCAACAACAAGTTTTTGTGGGAAAATAACCTAATTTCTGCACAACAATAACGCTTTCCTTTCAAAAGGATACAAATGATAACCTTACACACACATTAAAAAAAAAAACAAAAAAAAAAACAACTTTTTACAAAGAGTGTCTTGTATGTGAAAAAGTTTGAATGAGTCGGAACATTCCGGGGTGAAAGTTCCAATTGGAGAAAAAGCGGCAACACTGCGGGAACAAATGATGACAAACGTTTCCATGAGACAAGAAAACTGTCATTTGATGTGTCCCGATGACGCGTGAATATTGAGCTGGCATTTTTGGGCCTGGTTCAGGATGTCGCGGCCGCGAGCGAGGCGAGTTCACCAACCTGCAAGGCATTTCGGCATCTGCCAATGGCCGAGTGGTGGTGGCCGACAGCAACAATCAGTGTATCCAGGTTGCCCTCGCTCACCGTCGTCCTTCCTCTCCTCCTCCTCCTCCTCCTAACACCAAACGCTTCTCTGCGCAGATCTTCTCCAACGACGGCCAGTTCAAGATGCGCTTTGGCGTCCGCGGCCGCTCGCCGGGACAACTGCAGCGGCCGACCGGCGTCGACGTGGACTCCAAAGGCGCAATCGTGG